GATTACAAAATACTAATTTACATTAAAAAATACAAATACAAAATACAAATCAACAACGTGCGCTTTGTCAACCGTATATCCAACTTCGCGTTTTTCGCGTAAATTTACCAACAAATTAACTAACTCCAAATTAACAAAAAAACATTTATTCCCCGTTGATACAACCACAATTACGAAATACAAATACAAATCTACTCCGATACTATTACGCGCGATTAACAAATCTCCGTTACATCCAGATACTTAACATTTTCTAATAAACAAACAAATTACCAATCAACCACTACAAAAACATTCCTCACCTCGACGCGTTCCGTAAATACAACCACCCGTTACCAAAAAACTAATTTACAGTAAAAAGTTCAAGTACAAATCAACGTTACCAAAAAACTAATTTACATCAAAAAATATAACTACAAATCTACCTTACTCCCGCAACACCTTTCACGCCCTATCGACCGACGCTAAATTACACATTTATCCTTCCACCCAATCGCGTTCCGCTATCGACCCCTTCGTGCGTACCAGCCTTGTCGCTCCAGTCGGCCAACCTCGCCGCCACGAAAACGCTCCACGCCCGTCCGTCCGTCCAAAATGTCGAAAAACCCCGCGTCCAACGGCTCTCGCGTTTTCCACCGTGCCTTCTAACCGCGCCGCCATGTGCCCCGCGAAACGACAAACTATGACCCGCGACCAGTGCCAAAAGTGTTTGCGATGTTTGGGTAAGGTTATGTTTCCTCTCGCCTCCCTTCCCCTTCCCTAACTTTACTTCCACTTGCTTCTTTCTTCAGAGTTCGAAGCTTACGCCAATGTCGTCTCCGTCTTGCGCGCTCAAGGTCCTCTCACCGCCGAGAAGCAAAAACTACTGCGACGAGTCGCCAAAGTTTTCCGCATCTCCAACGAGCGACATCGCGCCGAGGTACGAAGAGCCGTCAACGACGAAAAATTGGCCGCTATAGCCGAGCGGTGAGTACGCCCTCCTTCTCCGCCCCCGTCCCTCC